GCTTATTTCTAAGTAAGTGTATCTATCATATGACCAGGTAATTTCAGAAGTTGTCCAACTTAATCAACTGATTTTACATCAGTGAAACTAGTTTATTACCGGTTACCTCGAGAAGTAACTAAGTGACTTTACAGTTTCTATAACCACTTTCGAATAACAAGTAGATGACCGTTATAATCAAAAATCTCTCGACAAGAAATTCATGAAAATTAAATGTATACGACAGTTTTCAGTGACTTTTCACTTTACTAAAGGTCTGTAATGGATTTTCTCTTTAGAAAGACTCTATTACTCAAAAATGCCGTTTTACTTGGTTATAAATAATATTAGAGATTGATTTTCATTGATTGATATGCCTAAAACTATTACGAGTTCACATCACTCGGTAAACGGAACAAAGATCAATGATTCAGAGACACGATAGGCTACCCTACTCCGATCGTCCCAGGCCCCACTAACTAGAGGAAGACGTCTTGATAAGACGTAGAGAAATGTATTTCACAGGCACCCAGAAAGTACGAGGTGCACAAGCACACAACTCAAGCTTATTTATACAATGATAGAAATGCCCTTGGTGAGAGCCACAAAATAGCGTACTAAAATAATCCATCAACCAATGACAGTCAAGGATTTCCTGAGTGGGAAAATGCAAGCTGAGGTTCATAACGAGTGTCTTTGGCGCGAAAACATGAAATTCAAAATTTCGGAATAAAATGACAAAATTAGGACCTTTCCCAAGTGAGTTCTGGGGATTTATTATCCTCAACAATGACTTACTGAAATCATAATAAAATATACTATCGTGATGAAAGTATACCTGAAATTTTAGACGGTCTTAAAAAACGTCTTTAAACATAATTGTACCTTATTTTAGGGCAGAGTTTTGGAGGTTTGTGTTTTTACACATTTGAAATCATCAATCAATCATTGTTAGACCATCATTAGAAACCTGGAAGCTCTGAAAGACGGCCGTTTCGTCCTGGTATGGCATTTATCAGCAGTGCGCATCCGCGACTCCTTCACCTTGCAGGATTCGAACCCGGGACCTTCGGCACTGTGCGTGAACGCCTAACCATTGGACCACTGGGCCGGCGAGGAGCAGGAGTCGTGGATGCGCACTGCTGATGAATACCATACCAGGACGAAATGGCCGTCTTTCAGTGCTTCCAGGTTTCTGATAGTGGTCTAACAATGATTGAATGATGATTTCAAATAATTGTACCTGTCAGTTAATGCATAAACTATGATATTATATAGTAAGAAGTTTACTTTCAAAGACAGAAAAAGAAACTCACTTATATTAAAAATCATATTCTAGTTAGTATTAGTTTTAAGAGTAAGCTTATTCATGTGAATTTCCTTTTACACCATAAAATTTTCAATTTTCAATGGAACAAAAGATTTTCTCTTGTTTATATTCTAGGGAATTCACATCCTCAGTTAGAAAACCTGTTACAAAGCTAATTCCAAAAATCAGTGTTGATTGGTGTGATTACTATCTTGATTTTGATTAATTCATAGGTACCAAGTAGTTTTGAGATAGTGGGGAAAACTTGTTGCTCAGGTGGATGATTGTGGTGGTGTTTCGTTCTCTGAGCTGGTTGTTTTGGTTGTGGAGCTTTCATTGTTCTTCTGTTGAACAACATCATCAGCACAAACTTCAGATAGAAGTGAAGCATTTGAATTTCTCCACGTTTGACCTGCAGCTTGTTCTGCAAACCTCGATCTTGATTGGTTGCTGTTAACTTTTGACCTGTCGTTGTTTGCAACTTTGTTTTGATTGCCTCCCTCTTTTGATCTGTTTCTTGATCCTATATCACCTATGATTTTCCTGATTGTTTGATAAATTGGGTCAGTGTCGTCAATATGTTTGTTCATTGCTAACTGACCTGAGTGCTAAGCTTCCAAAAATTCTCTAGTGATCTTTGTCCCCCCCCTACCCAGTATTTCCATATTGTTCCAATCAAATGTGTGTCCATAGTTGTCGGTATGT